AAAATTCTAAGAATTATATTTTCTAGATTTTAAAATCTCATATTCTCTAGAACTTATTTTATATTATTCTTATATTACTTAAGTAAGTGCAGCCCAACAGTTTTGAACAATAAATTGTATTTGAAATAGGAAGATAAATGGTGATTGTTTGACTAAAATAATATTGGCCTGCTTTCTCTGTCCAATTACTTTTCTTTGTTTTCTTCTGTGCTCTCATCTCCACTGGCTTCGTTTTCCTTGTTTCTCACTAACATGTTCCTCATCCATCACGTCTTGTAGATCACATGAACCCCAAAGTCAGGCTCTTAATGTTCTAGGTCAAGGCTACTCAGTTGAAAACTGATGCAACCATATTTTAAATTTTCCAGTGGCTACGTGAGGCAAGGAGACATGAAGGCAAGTGTTTTATCAGCCCTAATACTTTTAAGATCTCATCTCATTCCCAACATAAACAATACAGTGATATTTTACTTTTTCTCATGAAGATTTAGATTTTTGAAGTCCAGTGTGTATTTATGCAGAGAATGGGTTAGTTTACTCCAACCATGATGTGAGTTCTAGGTAGCTAGCCTCCATGGCTGTGTTTCTTTGCTGGCCACTCTGCTGAGCTGCTGGAATCCTGTTCATCTCTGTGCATAGAGAGTAACTAGTGTTTCTCTGACTTTGTAACTAGTAAATAGTGTTTCTCTGTAGATGCTAGAAATACCAGGTAACCTTTGGAGACTCGTTTCTTTTTTATTATCTTGAATTTAAATGTTACCTGTCTGATTTTTTTAAAATCAGCTATTTCAGTAGCACAATGTAAAAGGTGTGCTTAAAGATTGATATACAGTAAGAAGTAACAAGTGTGCTCTTCTTTGGAAAGCGGTCCATGGAAATTTAATTTTAATGCAATGTGAGTCCACAGAGCAAAGTTTCAGTTGGATAAGATGGATGCTCTGTCATGCTGCTCAACATAGTGCTTACAGCTAACAACAGTCTGCTACCCATTTAAACACTTCCAAACAATGTTTGGTCTTATGTTGTGTTCTTAGCCCAAGCACACAAGTAGGATGAGAATTCTGGAGGTGACTGATATCTTCATAACACGTTATGATGATGACATCACAGTTATGTTCTTATCACAGACTCATAAAAGTGTGTACATTAAATTAGTACACCTTTCTGTATTTCAGCCACACCTAGGAAAGAAAGAAAAAAAGAAGGGAGAAAGAAGAGCGGGAAGGAGGAGGGAGGGAGGGAAGAAGGGAGAGAGGGAAAGAGGGAGGAAGGGAGGAAGGGAAGAAGGGTGGAAGGGAGGGGAAGAAGGGAGAGAGGGAGGGAGGGAGGGAGGGAAATTTAAAAAATAAAAACAACTTGCAAACACAGCATAGGAGAGGACAGGCTTAATATATACCCTTTAGTTTTGTTTCCTAGCAAGTTAAAGTTAATGCTGGAATTTGGGCAAGTTGTCTAACTAATGTGCAACTTGGCTCTTTTATTTTCTTCTCTTTCTCCTTCCTTTTCTATCTATGTATCTATATATCTATGCATCTTTCTTTCTTTCTTTCTTCTTTCTTTCTTTTGTTCTTTCTTTCTATGTGCCTATCTATGTATCATTCTTTTCTTCTTCCAATGTATCTATTTACCTGTGTATATGTATGTATATATGTATGTATGTATGTATGTATCTATCTATCTATCTATCTATTCATCTATCTATGTATCTTTCTTTCTATCTATGTATCTATGTACTTATGTATGTATATATGTATGTATGTATGTATGTATGTATGTACTTCTTCTGGAAGGGAACATACTCTCTTCCAGAACATGCATGTGTCAGAAGATGCGTTGAATGTGTCCAAGGCAGGTGTATCCCACCATCAAGGAATGTAATAAACTTAGTAAATGTTTTAAGTTTTCTAAAGTTTTGTTTAACTTTTTCACTATTGATTAAAATATCAGATAGGGGCTGGGCACAGTAGAGCAGTTGCCTGGAATGTACCCAGTTGCAGTTTACTCTGCAGTTACTCTGCAGGTGAAGATAAATGAATAAATAAGCAAGCAGAAATTAGATGCCACCATGAAGTAGAAAGGGTTTGGACTTTGGTATAGCTGAAGATTTTCAAGGACAGGCACAATTTTCAGATCACATTAATATTTCTGTGAACTGCAATATCTAGTCAGTATTATTCAGAAATGTCTGTACAAAACGCCTTTCATTTTTCCCCCTTGGCTCCTATTTCAGCTTGGGTCTTAGCTATCCTCACTGCTAAGCTGCTGACTCACTTACTAATAAACAAGCATCTTCTCTGCTATAGTGAATGACTACTTTCTGCCCTTCAGCATCCACTGTGTCCCTTTCCACCTACCTTCTAGGCTGTACCCATTCCAAATGTATGTTAGAGCTTTTCAGCAGTCTGCACCACCTGAAGATAAATTTCTAAGGTTTTTTTTTTTTTTTTTACCTGGTATAGGGGCATTATCACATGATTTGCTTGGCAAACTACGTGTTGGTAGAATACCTTCTTTGGGGTTCATAGAGTTGTTTTGTTTACAGCCTCAAATGTTCAATTCAGAGGTCAGTTCATTTTCTTCTTTTCTCATCTCCTTATGGCAGAGTTAGTTTGTCCCCTACATACTTACTATACACTTGCTCAATTCTTATACAGTTCTTACTCAGCCTAAAGACTATTTTTCCCTCATGAGCTAAATGGATCTAATATTAATAACCATTGAAGTGGAAACATAACTCTAATAATGGCTAAAGTATAGCTGATTCCTTCTTATAAGTATAAGTTGTAAGCCTAAAAACTAGCCTGCATACTAGTTACAAGAGTGTGAGTCTCCACTGATTGGGTTCTAAGGATTCTTCAGTCAGTCCCAAAGTTGCCCTCTTGAGGAAAGTGACATGCACTTTAGAATGATTTCTGTGTGGTCATCTGGTAGTTCTTTACAGGTGCTAGTAGAGAAAAAATATCAGTGGAACAGGAAATCTGTATCATGATGTCTTTCTGTTTAGTTCTTACTTTATATTTATAAAGATATCAAAGACTTAATATGTTTAAATACTCATTTATTTTTTAAGAAACTAAATACTCATTTGCGTTTTAGAAAAAAATAACTTTACCAACCAAGTGTGTTCTTTGATATCTCATACATGTATATGTGTCCCCATTGGTCTAATGCCCAACCTTCCTTATCTCCCACCCGACTTTCAACTACTGGGATGTCAAATGTCATCCTCAAGGAGAGCAGAAGATGCTTACTGGGTCTGCCCAAGACCTGCTCTGACAAAGATCATGGATGGGAAAAGGGATCATGGGGCCCTAACTCTCCCTGATGGTCTGTTACTTACTGATATGTCCTCAGAAAGGAAGAAGCATTGTCTTTATTTACAAATCCAGTAGAAACCAGGCTTTGATCCACAGTTCCAAACCCGGTGTCATAGAGATAGCTCTGGAAAAGATTCTTTTTTTTCCTTTCTCCCCATGTGTGTTTTCCTCTCCTTAATTATTGTGAAAATGGTTTTTCTCTTCTCTTCTTCCCAGTGTTGAAGTCACTTCAAGGACAGAATTATAGTTTCTCTGCTGGTAGTCGGTGTTATTTTCATAAACAGAAAGAAAAATAGAGGCATATGAAAAATAGAGGCATATAGAGCTGATAAATTAAATGGTTGGTTTCCCAGACAATGGATTCACAAATATGACTAGGCTGAAAAACAAAGCAATTTTTCCAGATAACAAAAATGACTAGTCTAAGAACTGAAGCAAAAGCCACTGATATTTGAAGGTGATATTTGAAGGACTGGAGTGTTTAATTTTGACCATTCTTCTGAGTCAACAGAAGAGGAGAGTTATATTGTGAGCTGGAAATCAGTAGTGGTTCTTTAAAATTCAAAATGTCTTTTTCAGGGGGAAATATTTATTTTGCAGTGGACATGACTCAAATGTAAGCATGCTTTACATTGACTAAACAGACATTCTCTTCCCGACTCCAGGCTGCATACTTATGGTTAAAACTTCATGATTCTGTAGGTTGCCCAGAAGTGCTTCTTTAATGCACACATCTACAATATGTGACATGAGAACGTATGTTGTATGTTCCTACTATGAACTGAAGAGTTTCTGAAGAGTCTGCTGCACATACAACACTCATATAAGACCACAGTAATGAAGTGGGTAGAGTACCATATGCCTGTAATCACAGCATTTAGCTGATTGAGGCAGGGAATAAAAAAGTTCAAGCCATCTTGGGCTCCATGAGACACTGTCTTAGAAACCATTCCCACACAAACCAATAGAAATCAGACAGTTATCTGTTCTTCAGGTTAAATGGAAAAGACCATAGATTTGTGTTTTCTCTTACTTGTAGAAGGTGGCCTGAGTACTTCTACATAGAAGTGGGTGGCAACTCCCAGAAGGAAACGCTATTTTTCATTCCTTGCCTATATTACGGGTTAAAAACCTGAAAATTAATCTGGAGTTTATGCATGACACTGCAAACCAGTGTGGAAAGTCGACAATGTTCAAACTTAATTGACATGCTGAGAATGTATCAAATGATCAGTCAGGATTGAGATGATAGAAATTTAATATAGCAACAATATCATTCGTGCTTTTATTGATGTTGTTTTTGTTGTTGATACGTGCTTTAGTAGGAGACAGAAGCTACTCCGCCGGCATAACATTCTTACTGGACTAAGAACAGTGAGACTTTCTAGTTTCTGACTGGGGAACTTGTTTCTTTGGTTTCTTTGTTCTTCTGGTCCATGGCCATTTTAAGCACATATTTTACAGAGTGATGGAGCCTGTGGAAGTACATTTGGCAGCTGTTCCTGTGACAATAATGAGATGTAGTATGTAGCGCTGTGCACTATTGCTATATAGAATGTGGGGAATAGTATACAGAGATGTTAGTGGGCAGAGCCAAGCCAGAGCCACTTTGTATTTAAAGAGTGACCCTGAGGGAAGAAGTTGTATTCTCATAAGAGAATAACTAGTTTTCTCTTCCTACAGGTAAAGAAAACGTGCCCAGAAACAGATGTTTCAGAAGCTCAGAATTCCAGGTACAGTAATAAAAATCAATATTTCATTAAGAAAAAATTGCAGTTTTGGAAAGCTATCAAGTTGTTGTACTCTATACCTGATGTGATAGAGATAGAAACACTGACATTTTCAAGGAATAGATGGAAGAATAGATGGATGGATGGATAGATAGATAGATAGATAGATAGATAGTATATCTGGCAAGGGTATTATTAATCATAAAGTTCATTTTTAAAAGAGCAAGATTGAAGACAACTTCAAAGAATAATACAAGAATCTCTAGCAACACTTCAAAATTTTTCCATGGATATTATTTTAAAACCTTCATTTTAATACATTTTTATAAAGTGTTTATTTCCGTAATTGTACTTGATACTGAACAATCACTGAATCTATTTTTATTAAACTTCATATTTTTCTTTCTAATGAAATGTGACTGCATTTTGAGAATACTAACAAATTAAAAATCTCAAAATCAACTTAACATTCTAGTTATTATTTAGGGGAATTGGTAGAAGAGATGAACTAAAATTGTTACTCCCTTCATATAAGAATTTAATAGCATTTAGTTGTTTGTGGTTGGACCAGACAGATCTGCTCTAAGCCTGTGTATTATCCACTGTTTTCATTTCAAAATCCAGGATTTAGTTTTAAACGGACAAGTCAAAATGTTTATGAATATCATGACAATGAAAAGCACACATCCTTACCATGCTAAATGTATGATTGCTCTATGTTATTAAGACACTGATTATTATGACATGTGTACTGGTGTACTGTGCCTTTTTCTGCACAGGAATAGTGATACCAGAGCAATTCAGATCTCATAAAACTGCTAATACTCCCATGCTTTCCTTTTGAAGAGTCAATGTACATCATAGACCATCTATTTACCAGTCAAGTTATTCTTGTGTGGTAGGATATTCCTGTAATTGATTCTTCTACATATTAAATGATTGCATGTATACTTTTTCTTTAGGTAATTTAAAAGCATATATAATGATACAGAATTATTGATACCTGGCCTTCTGTTTTTAAAATTACTTGTCAAAATAGAGTTGAATAACTTTTGTGTATTAAGGTCTTACGAGGTGGACTAATCATCAAATTTTTGCCTAAAAAGCAACATAATCTACAATGTATGAGGAGGAGAGAGAGCTCCAGAGCCTGCTCCTGGGACATTTCCTAATAATTTCACTGCATCTATGATTAATAAACTTATGATTTAATTAATGAGATTTATATAAGTAAATGAATAATTTTGTAGGCAACATATGTGAGGCAGCAAGCTGGAAAATGGCAAGATAATTATCTTTATTATGAACATTTCATATCAAATATTTTGTACCCTATTCTATTCAGAATCTTTTGATATACTACCATCAAGTATACTTTAAGTGAGCAGAAAGCTACAGCAACAATCTACTCTTGGTTACTAATGGTATAACTGAGTTAGAAAAGAAAGATACAATTGCAAAGCTTAATGATCTTAGTCCTAGAACTCTTTTCTGTTTGAAAAATTTCTGCCTGTGTGGTGATGAAAATATGATCTTAAGGTAGGTGTAGCTCAGTGACAAGAGACTTATGATAACACGCTTGGGACTCTAGGTTTGAATCCAACATTGCAAAAGATAGAAAGAAGGAAAAGAAAGAAAGAAAGAAAGAAAGAAAGAAAGAAAGAAAGAAAGAAAGAAAGGAAGGAAGGAAGGAAGGAAGGAAGGAAGGAAGGAAGGAAGAAAAGGAAAAGAGAGAGAGAAAGAAAGAAAAAAACAGAAAGAATAATTTTTCTTTTAAGATGAATAATTACAGGTTTTAAAAATTGTTTAAAATATGTTCTATTATTTAATATTATACAGCTTTGTAAATTAAAAGGGTTTGGGTTCTTTAGAACTCACAATTGTTTGCCATGAGTTAGCTATTTCTTAAAATTACTCATAAAATGAGTAAATTGGGAATTCAGTTTTCTAAGAACAATAAACCTTTAAAAAACTGAAAACAAATAAAAGAAACAAATCTTAGTGCAACCCATGATATAAAGACCTTCTGGATGACCTAGAGACATTTTCAACTCAAGATGCTAGACATTTATTCATGGCTGATATTTCTCCTGGATGAGCACTACCCTGATGATACATACCCAGTGGTCATCAGCTTTGTTAGAAGTCTTAGGTCTAGGGGATGCCCAAATTGTCACTAAGGCACACACTCACACACACACACACACACACACACGGGGGGGGCTAGGGAAGAGAGGGGACGGGAGGGGAGCGGGGGAGGGGAGCGGGGGAGAGAAGGAGGGAGAGGGGAAAGGAGGGGGAAGGGGAGGGGTAGAGGGAGAGAGACAGAGACAAGACAGAAAGAAAGAGTGTTACTTTCATAGCATGCTATCTTCGGCTTAAAATTTTAGAGCATAGAATTTGGTAATAGTATTCTGAAGAAATCTAAGAGAATTGAACTCCATATGGAACAATGTATCAGCATAAAATGTACACCAGGGAAAACACTGCCTGACAAAATGTCGCCCTGCTTAGAGTCTAAAGCAAATGTCACTCATGTATTTAGCTAGCCTTATAGAGTGTTTATCTTGGGTTTGGAGTGATCAAAATAGATGCAGATGGGAAATGTTATTACAGTGGGGAAGTAATTAAATTGCATGTGGAGACTTAGTATTCTCAGAGTGATATATATGTATCAGCAAATTCTTTGTCTTGCTTGGCCTTAATTTCTCTTTTGGAAAGAAATGCTTTGGCTGCAGATGTAAGTGGTAGATTGGAAAAAAGAGAATTTATAAATGCATGCAGTGCAAAGTGAAGCAAATTTGGAAGCAAAGTTCCATGTGTATGCTAAGAGCCAGACATCACGGGCCGAACTTGCTGAGTCCTAAAACCATAAACTCAATGTCATAGGGAAACGGGTAGAATGTGCTTCACAGAAAAATGTATATTCCTTGAATATCTATCTGCCTGTGCCTTGCATCCTTCTCTGTTGGTCATCATGTCCAGAGTATGTTGTTCTTATGTTAACCATAAAATGGATGCATGAAATAAAGAACCTAAGTTTTTTATTCTCATGTATCATTATACTCTATGCTTAAGCTTCCTATTGGACAGGCACTTGACACAAACTGAAACATTATTTTAAAGCTGTTTTTCTCCTACAGTCATTGTGAATTCAGTTGTGTAAATTTGTGCCTCAGTCCAATCTCTTTGTTTATGTGATAGATAGCTCCTGGTCAAATGTTATTGTTTTGGTTTGGTTTTGGTTTTGCCAAATGTTTCCATGAATCTGTTTATAAAGAAAACACACACCCAAACAAATCTACACACACCTACACATACACACACACACACACACACACACAAACAACAATAAACCCCAAACAATAATAACAAAAGTTAAAATCTTCTACTTCTCTTTCCCTCTATTCCTGGTGGAGGAAGGAAATAATTTATCTCATTATTTAATTGTATTTGCTACAAATGTCTGAGAGGGCAACCATGTTTATCAGCCACTGTCATATGTGATACATTCCTTTTTATCATCTGCTCCAGCACTCCTTGCCCATTCTACTTTGAGACTCTGACTGGAAGAAGGTGTTTGCCAAGCAGAAGTCAGAGGCATAAGAGGAAATACAATTAAAACAAAGCATTTTTGTGCAGTGATTGTTACATTACTTAAGACATGGAGGAAATATAAATTTTGGTGAAATTGGGCTGACAAATAACCCCCAGGAAGAATTCCAGCTGCCTGCACATGGCAACCTGGTGTCACCCAGACCACATTACCATCTCAAAAATCCACTAAAGAGGCCCAAAGGGGTGTTGTTGATATTATTTTATAGAGGGGGTAAGATGAGAGAATATTAATATTTATAGTGAGTAAAGGAAGAGGGTGGAGTCCTCTGGGTAATAATCAGAATTGATTCTATTCCTCCTCATGTGTTTTAAAAAAAGTTTATTAAGAACTTAATGATTGCCTGACCTCAACAAAAACTTTGGTCTCTGTCTTCTTGACCTAGCTTCTGCTAATGGTGTGATTATTAGGAGAAATGAAAAATGAACAGCCAACTTTGAAGATGTGTTGAAATTCATTTCAGTTTAATCACTAATGTTTAAGCAGCCTCAATGAGTTTATTCAAAGACCACACACTTTTAAAAGTACTTAATTCATGTTTTTTTTTTTTAAAAAAAGATATATATGGAGACAGGGGCATGGGGAGGTGGTATGAGATGTGGAACAGTCAGGAGTTAGACCAGAAAGGGAATAAAATCTGGAGTTTAAAAAATAAATAAATAAAAATAATAATAAAGATATCTATGTTTATTTAGCAGCTCAGATATTTTTGTGTACAAGCCTAATAGATATCTCAAAATAATAAAATATGTACCTACACATTCACTACCTCAAAACTAATGCTGCCTGCAGTTTTAAAATTTTAATATGACAGCTCTAGCCTTAAAAGTATCCAAAAAGTAATTGATTTAGCAAAAAAAAGTTATAATGAAGAAACACATAACCATTTTTAATTAATTAATTAATTAATTAATTTAACATCCGAACCACAGTTCCTGTCCCTCCACTTCTCTTGTATCTCCCTCTTACCTCCCCTTTCCCCCAGATTTACTCCTTCATTTCCTCTTCATAAAAGAGCAGGTCTCCAAGAAACAACAGCCTGCCAGAACAAAAAAAGATATAATAGACAAGGAGAAAGCCCTCCTATTGACTAGTTAAGGCATTCCATTCTACACTTTCTTTTTTTTTTTTTTTTTTAGCTTGTAAAGCAACCTTATTCAGTGCTTCCAGGATTCTTAAATCTTTTTCTATATATAACATTTGCCTGTCCAAAAATTTAATGCTATATTGTTTTCTCAGCAGGGAAACCTGGTCAGCTTTCAGGAATCTTGCCCAGGATTTTACCATGTCAAATCAGCAGAGCATGTAGCAATTCCGTCTCTAACATGTATCTAAATTCATTATTAATAGGGTGCATTTCCTCATATCATGAAAACTTCAGACTATT